AAGAAAAAAAAACCCCCAGAAAAAGCAGATTCTGGTTCAATTAGAGTTTGTTTTCGTATTAAATTTAACGGATATTCGATGGATTTTACCCAATTTTGCTATTAAATTTAGTATTCAACGGATAACGGATAAAGCTCTAAGTCCAATTGATTTTTTCATAGTCTGCAAGTCATATGAATTCCCAAATGCATTAAAAATGACAATAGGTAAAATTTTTGACGAAATTACATAATATTTAGACAACCATATGTGATTCCGGTTTTTTTATTTAGTAAATTATTTGATTATTTATCTGATTCAGCCCAGGATACATCGGGCTTTAATTTAAAGCCTGGGCTGAATCAATAATTACTAAAAAAACTGGAGTCACATTTCCCTTGACAGCACTCATATATACTCATACGTATCTTCATTAAAAAAAACTGGAGCCACATTTCCCTTGGCAGCACTCATACATACTTATACGTATCTTCACACGGCTGATCTTATCCTAATTAAAAAGTTTTTAGGTTCATTTTTTTTTTTTTGGTTATAAAAAAGTATCAGAGACCTCCGCAATTTCAAAACCAATTATTGATTCAATATATTATAACGATATGTTTAAGAAATTATGTTTAAGATTTGTTCTAACTACTTGCCTAATATTATATATCGTCTCTTTTATGACTTCGAGAGCGAGTAAGTAAATCAAGAATTCATTTTATGTAACCTGAATTATAATAATTTCATATATATTCTGTAGTTCTAGAGGATCACATTGTTTCAAGCAATTTATGTGACTCAGAAGTTGAACAGGTATTGCACAAAGATATAATATATCTAAAAAATCAAGCAATTAAATAAAACCATTTATCAATTAAATATATAGTACTCTGGATATATAAATATCGCATCAGATGCAAATATGTTTTTTTGGTTTTTTGAATCTCGTCATGATCCAAAAAACTCTCCATTAACTATATGGCTTAGTGGTGGACCTGGTTTTTCTTCAATGTTTGCATTGTTCCAGGAGGCAAGACCTTGTGAGGTAATTGCGAATACGACCAAAACTATAAGAGTTCCGAATGGTTGGAATGAAGTGACGAATTTATTATTTATTGATCAGGTGAAATTACATTTAATTAAACAGTTAATATAATATCATAATTTTAATTATTAAAATATTAAATACCAACAAAAAATTTTTTAATTAAAAGCCAATTGGTGCTGGATTTTCATATGGGTCACGTTTAGTAAATACAACAGAACAATGTGCCTCAGATATTTATGAATTTTTACAAAAATTCTTTATAAAGTTTCCGAAATATGCAACTTTAGATTTATATCTATTTAGTGAATCTTATGGAGGTCATTATGGTATGTCACATACTAATAAACTAGAACTCAAAATAACATATATACCCGTTATTTTGAGTTTTTTTTTTTTTTTTGTAGTATGAATTATTTTATATGATATTATTATTTAATGATGTTTTTTTTTTCAACTTATCAGTTCCAATCATGGCCACACTTATTGTCCAAAATAATAATTTAATCAGAACTGGGAAAATAAAAGATAAAATACTGATTAATCTTAAATCTTGTGGAATTGGTGGTCCTTGGGTTAGTCCTTTGATTACAATGTAAGTTTTTTCTTCACATATATATATATTATTCTAAAGATTTTTTTTTAATAATGTACATACATTACTTTATATAGGAAATCTTATGTTAATTATATAGAGAATAATACATGTATGAAATTTTTAATATATTTAAAAATTTTTATTGATATAAATCTTAAGGTTTATTTTTTATATATACAGACAACACGTCTTTGCTAAGTCCAGAATTAATTGAGGATATGCGTAATAAATGGATACCATGCCAACAGAAAAGTATGTTTTTCTTTATATTATAAACTAATGCCAAATTTCAA